TTTTTTTTTTTTCCAGATTCCAAGTAAATTAATCCCTGTTATTTTTGCTCATAAAAAGATTTATTCTCTTCAGACCTAATAATTCCTTGTGAAACTTGTTAAATAAATGATATTTATGTCTTGGAGGTTTCTCAAATTAATATGCATACTTATTTTTTCATTGTGGTTACATCTCCTGCAACATTTTTAGTGTAGAAATTCAGTATTATAATCATACAATCAATACTGGAATCATTAATTTCATCTCTGCCATATATGTCTATGTATATCTGAACATAGACATCTTTTCTTGAAATGACAGAGAAAAAACTTCTTTGGAAAATGTTGAATAAAATTGAATAAATTATGTTATACCACCAACATAAACCCGGAATATTGATGTTTCTACATCAGTGGTTGATTGCTCTGAGCTACTATATCACTACAGAGAAGGCAGCATGTTTCTGTATTTGTCCATATGCTTCTTGTCTGTCATTTCTTTGTTAGTGATCAAATTGATCAATCCAGATGGAATCCTAAGAAACACCACTCTTTATTCACTGGTGTTTATTTTGGAGAAGAGTAAGGGTAGATCTCTACTCTCTACAGCTACCAGAAAGGAAATTGCAACAAGGAAAGTGCCAGTCCATTTTCTCAGATGATGAGTGAGAGGAAATTGCATCAGGAGAGGTTTAGATTGGATATCAGAAAGAATGTCTTCATGGAAAGGGTGGCCAAGCTTTGGTAGGTGCGGTTCAGGTGTGCAGTGAATTCCCCATACCTGGAGGTATTTAGGACACGAGTGGATATGGCACTAAGGGAAATAGATCAGTGATGCAATTTGGTAGGTCAGATTGATGGCTGGACATGATCTTGGAGGTTTTTTTTACAACCTAGATGATTATATTGTTCTATGATCATAATTAAGCCTGTGACTATCCTTTCGTGAGAAGATATTTGTTACTTTGGCTTGTTCTGAAGAGACAAATGTTGATATTCAGAAATGATTATCTGAGGCATAAAATATGTAATGCATGGAGATTACATGGTTTTTGGTTAGGTGACTTCTGAAATACAGTCACACCAGAGAACCATGGCCTTCTCTGACTATGAATTTTTTTCTAAAAACTTAGTGATGTCTGTCATATTATTTTCTGTCCTTCTAAGTTTCAGGTTACTTGCCTGCTCACTGCCAGTAACCTGGTAAATAGTTTAATAATATTGAGGGTAACGTGCCAAAGTCCTATTGCACTGCCTGGGAGTTTTATTTGGATGTTCTGCTTTCAGAAAGGTCAGAGAAAATGAGAGCATTAAATTTTCTCCAATCTTATTCCCTTTTCATCCTTCTTCTGAGAAACATCATCTCCCAACTCTACCTTTTCTTTTTACCTAGAAAATTTTACATCAAATGTGAATTGTATATCTATTAATGAATTTTTTAAAACTGCTGTAGAAGAGCATCCAACTCTTTGTTTATCCCTTTTGTCAAGGGATAAACCCTCTGCTTGTTTTAGCCAATTATATCTCATATTAAACCCAGTGCTCCAATTTTCTCTGCTTATTCACTTAAATGACTGAAGGTTGTTTTCTAAATTTCATTTATTCATCGATGAATGTGTATCTTTTATGGGATACCACTTACTTTCAGCTAAAATACTGATTTTTACAAACCAGTTTTTTCCCAGTACCCAAAACCATATTCCAGTGCTTTTGTAGGATTTCCTGGTTTCTATTACATTCTTTCTACTGTTGTCAACAAGTTTGTGCATTATTTCTTAATTGATCCTGTATTATTAAAAAGCTTAATTGTCCATAGTTGAAAAAAAGTTGATTTGAAGGTAGGCAGTACTGTGGTGTTGTATCAGCAGCTGCTTTTACACTTATTGGTGGAGTAATTTTACATTTTTTTGTAGTACATTCCATACTTAACTTTTCACGATATTTCTGTTGCAGTGGTGGAATCTATTACACTTAGAGTTGAGCCACCAAGGTCAACAATAGGTAATGGTACTTCTTTGGCAAGCTGTAGTTTTGGGGGTCTTTTTTTGTCACAGAAAGTGGCACCAAAGTTAATCATCTTATGCTTTAAGATTGATTCATTAAACTTCATTTTTTCTTCTAGGTATTTCTTGTTTGGTATCCATGTCTGTTGGTCATATTGCTCGCTTCACAATTGGAATGCCTACTTTTTGAGAAAAAGAGGCTTGCAGCTTTGAATGACCTTTGTTTTGATTATGCTCGTCTGTGTCAGTCTCAGCTTTTCATCTAAAAAATAAAAATCTGGGCTTCTGTAATGACCAAAATTCCTTTATCTTGCTTAGGCTGTTGTAAGCACATGGGTATTATTATCAGACTTTCTTTGCTGTTTCCTACAAAGAGAATTCTCTGTTGCAGGTGTGAGCGTTCTGTGTTTGTGTGTTCAACTCGATATCAGATGTTGATTGCTCAGTGTATTAACCAACTTATTACCCACCTTTTCTCTTCCAGCTCCAAGGGAGATTCCTCGTATTCCTTCTAAACCTAAACCTTCACCCAAACCTCATATTCCACAGGCTGAAGATGGTAAACTGCTTTGTGTGATTATTTCTAACACAGCATATATTAGATTGAAATGTATTTCTGTGCAACTATGTATTTATTTGAACAAATTTAATCATAATCAGATTCTTTTGTGCTGTCTATTCAGTGGTATGTTTGCAATTTTCAGAAATAGTAACAATTTTATTTTTAAATTCATGCTATAGAGCTAAAGTGTGTGATAACACAATATGCAGTAATGCTTTTTAACAGCATCCAGAAAGCAAACAAATGTTCTCCAATTCCAGTTTTGTATATAAACAGTACTTGAAATACCACACAAAGGAGAGAATTTTCTATCCTTAAAAAGCCAATTTCTTAATAAGTTAATGATAGATATTTGGATATCTCACTACAGCCAGTTGGAGAACTAAGCTCACACTGAAGAAGAGTTTCCTCTGTCACTGCTTATTTTCTCAATGACTTTATTTAATATAACAGTTTTTGTATGAGGGAGTACATTACCATAGAAATAATACTAACTGTAAGTAGGGTTATTCTCTTAAATTTTCAGAACAGCTTTTATGTTTTGTTTTTCTTGATACAGTCCTGGAATCTGTAACATTTAGAACTGATCAACCAAAGCCAACAATAGGTAACAGTTCTACCCAAAGTGATCATCACATTTAGAATACATATTGTGGCTACTTGGTACAGTACTCACCCACACTGCTTTGCATGGTTAGAACAAATACTCAGTAAATGTCTAGCATCACAGGTACATCTTCACTGTATTTCACTGTCATGATTTTTACTATAAAATTTCATCCTTATGTAAGGTGATTTTTTTGTGTTTGTGATTTTACACTAACAATTCATATTCATCTTGCTTGGTTTTCCTCACACAAATTTGTTCTGTAAAGCAAATGGCAGCACCACAATTTTACTTTGATTGTGTTTCATTATACTTAGTTTGTGTCACATACTTTATCTTTTCTGCTAGTCTCCAAGCCAGACATCCATCCTGGCCTTACTTCTCTTGATTCTATTACAGAGGTTCCCCACCAGCAGTATTTCTTCGTGTACCAGGCATTCATACTTCTTCATTATTTGTATAAGCTTTTTGTGTATCCAGATTCCAAAGGCATGTGTTCGGGGCTTCCTTGTTGGTTTTGTGAGTCGTTGATTTCTTGTTTGTTTATTTGTTTGTTTGTTTGAAATGTTATACCTTCTGACAGTCTTCTGTCAGGAAGATATTAAAAGTTGCATTTGTTTTATTCCAGTTCCAAAAGAATCACATCGTATTCCTTCCAGACCTAGGATACCACCAAGCTCAGAGGTGCCACAGACCAAGCCTGGTAAGTACGTTGTTTCTTTATTTTATCTTGGTATGTGTATCCTACAAATTGTACAGTGATCAGCAGAGTTTCAGATCCATATTTATCCCTTGGGTGTGTATCTTGGTGCGTTCCTTGAAGGACAAAATCCAGTATCATACATCATAAGAAGTGGAACCTGTAAGCAACCTTGTAAGTTTAAATTTTCTATCTTAGTTCGTTCTTACATTTTAAGTCACTGCAACATTGGGCATTTTCTTTGCAGTCTTCAGTGAAAATAGCTCTTCTCAGTTTGAATTTGGATTGGTTTGGGGATAGATGAAAAAGAAAGTGTCATTGCAAAGAGGAAGTGGGTTTTTTCTGTATTTCTCAAACTGAGTACATGTATTTTCTTTCCTAAGCACAATTTTATTTTATTCTTTTCAGTTACTTTTGCAGAATCTTTATTTTGTCTGTGCACTTAAGAATGTGCAATATTTTTCAAAATGTTGCTTACACAGTTTGATATAAAGTAATATATGACCGTGGCCTAATCAAGAGTGGAGGAAGAAAGTTAAACAACTCAATTGAAAGTTAAACAATTCCTGCAATTGCAGGAAGTACTGTAGTGAGTTGACCTTGCCCATTAGCTATGGTTTGCTCACCACTTTGACCCACTGCAGGTTTGAGGAAGAGACAGAAGGAAAAAAAAAAACCCAAAAAAAAACCAAAAAGAACAAAGCAGTGATTCAAGGTAAAATGTAAAAATGAGAGAAAAAAAGATAAAAACAAGAGATGCAAACACAGTCAGTCACAAACCTACTGCCAGAAGACCAACACCTATCAAGTCCACAAGCAGTGGCTCCTTTGAAAAACCTACCCACCAATTTTATTGTGACATTAGATGACATGAAACGGTCCTTTGGTCAATTTGGTACAACTGTCAAAGCTGTGTCCCCTCCCAGCCTGTTGCCTAACCTCAGCCTACTTTTCTGGGGACTGTGTGAAAAACAGAGAAGTCTTTGACGCTGTACGAGTTCTTTTTCAGGATCTGCTAAAACACTGGTTTGTTATTAACACTGGCTTGGTCAAAAATTTAAAAAAGAGCACCTCAGGGACTGCTATGAAGAAAATAAACTCCTTCCCAGCCAGAGCTAGTGCAAGTATCCAAGGTATTCACAGCATTAGGTGGTGCTGCTGGGAAAATGGGCAGAATGATGAGGACTAAGATTCATTTTTGCCCTGTTAAGTCTGCACCTATTGTTTGAATTAAAAAATAAAATTAAGCAAGAAAAGTGTGCAAAGTTTAAGATGGAACACCACCCACAATTTCTTTGTGGCTTATTACAAAATTTACAGATTTATGTTCAGAGCTCAGATCTGTATTAGAGCTGAAGGCAATTTTTGAGTTGCATAATACTGTTGTGTTTGAGTTTCAAGGAGGAGAGGCCGTCTCTCACTAGCCGTAGGAGGGATGATAAGATCATTGTGGAGGTGCTGCCTGCAATGTTTTGATTGTTCTTACTAAGAGTTATTTTGCTGGTTTCTAACGCAGCTCTGGAACCAATTACGTTTAGAACTGAAAAACCAAAGTCAACATCAGGTAATGATACATTCTTATTTGTATACGCACATTGTTTTTCTTTTACAACAGAGATCATTATAAGTATACCTGCAAATAAGTTTAATAAATGAATTTAATAATAGATTTAATAATTTAACAGTCAAGATTCTCTACCTCTTTTCATTTTTTCTTCAAAGCATTCAAGAAGGATCCTCATGCCTATCAAGTTTTTAAGCACATAGGATAGGGTAATTTCCTTTGGCATTTAAAAAGGCTGAGGACAGATCAGAACAGGATCCCAACTTACACAGTTATACTGCAAAGGTGACACTGTTCTAGTTAGTCACATGAATTGAGTGAGCAATGCTGCCTGCTCTCAAGTTTCTTTCTTTTCCATCCCCTCCAGATTTTATAAATTCATTCACGGAATTCTAAACAATAATTCTGTTTCTCTTAATTATCAATTCCACTGCCAAAACAAAATCATTTCAGTGATCTTTGGGATATATGAGGCAGAGCCAATTGACTAAGGCATTTTTATTTGCTTGAATGTGGTACTGAGAATTATTCTGGTACAATTTCATTGCAGCACAGTGGTGTCTTTGTATTTGAAACTTCTTCTATTCAGTAGTTTACCTTCTAAATAGAAACAATAATTCTGTCACATGATATGTCACAGAGAAGTATCTTCTCTACAGCATGATTTTGTTCCAAAATAAACCCCTTCACCTCTTTTACATTGTTTCCATACAAGTATGGTTCGTTCAAATCTTTGCTGTATGTGTATTGACTGTTATAGATTGCAGTGAACAATGATGCCTCTGAAAATGTTAACACATTGTAACCCAGTTTCTTTCAGTTCCTAGAGAGACACGTTATGGGCCTTCCAAACCCAAAACATCTCCCAGTCCACGTGTTCCTCCAACCAGAGCAAGTAAGCTTCTCAGTATTTTGCATTTTAGCGTATGAAAGTTTTTGCAGTTTGAAAATTGACAAAATATATGAATTTTTTGAAAATACACAGATCTTTATTGAACAGGGTGTGTTTTACTGTTGTAATGCTATAAAGCTGTCCTAAAGCAAGACAGATATCTGTGTGTATCAGTAATTTGCATGAGGGTTGGGGTGTGGGGGTTAAAAACTCTTATATAAAGCCCCTGAAAGTTGGAAAACTTGGGTCTCAATTTCCTTAAGGTATGAAAGAAGTACCTTTATTTTCTCATTTACAAGAACAAAATTACAGTACTTTCTTGTTCCCCGATCTACACTTTGGGGATATCTCTGTCCATTTGATAGTTAGTGGTAATTTTCCCCGTTTCTACTTTGACTACTCGATTGTTTTTAATGTAAGATTGATCTAAGCAAGCAATAGATTTTTGGAATATGAAACACTTGAAGTGCAGCTAGGAAAACTGTTAGAACTACAACAGTTTACTCTGTGAAAAGATCTGTTTGAGATAACTGGGATAAGAGGAGGGTTAATCCAACAGTGCACTGTAACAGTCACTTTGTAGTCTCAGCACTAACGTTTACTTCGTTGGCAAGAGGTTTCTGTGGTTACTAGCAAATGGAAAAAATACTTCCTAAAAATTTTTTTTGCAGAAAATTAATGTCTTGTAAGGAATATCAGATACACTTATGATTCGTCATTATCTTCATTACTGTGTTCAAAACTTAGCTCGTCTTCACAGGTCCAAAAGAAAGTCGACGAGTTACTTCCAAGCCCAGAACATCACCAAGTCCAGATTTACCACACACAAAACCTGGTAAATAGATAAATGTTTTGTTGTACTTAAATGTTCAGATTTTCTTTGGGTTGTCTTTTCTCAATGTGTCAAGTGTTGATTAATATCTCTTAATATTGCAAATATATAGATTTTCTAATGAGCATTAAATATACATGTTTAAAGAAAGAGAGAGCTGATTTAAATATTTAATTATTCAGTTTTGATGAGTTGTATATGCTTTCCAATCACATGACAGTTGTCATTGATGAATAATTTGTATAGAAGGTTAAACAACATACAACCATTTTAAGAGTGTTCTTGGAAGAAATCTCCCCAGTCTTCTTTTTTGATCTGGTGTGTCCTCGTGGTGGAATTAGATCCTTAAAAATATACCTGGTAGGGATTTATATGTCAGTGAACTACCAAATCTCCTCTTTAACGTATAACGGTTCTGAAGATATCAGTTGAAACTTCCTTTATAGGGAATGTATATTCACTATTATTTATTCCAATTTAAAAATAAATTAGTTATAGGGAGTATTTTTACCCTTTTAATTGTAGTTTCTGCTAACTTTGTGTACATTCTTGTTTTTGTGAAGTACTGGCACATATTACATTTACAGCCTAGCAACCAAAGACAAAAAGGCAACTTTGGGCTGTTCAATATGATTTTTTTTTTCCCTGCTGTTCATTGACCAAAGATTATGAATTATTATTCTGTTTTTTACATTATTTGTTTGTAGTTTTGATTCGTTTACATAATACTATTCTGTTCCAGGTATTCAAAGATTCCTAGCTATGTTGTCTTCACAAAAATATTCTCTCTCTTCCACATTGCAGTTTCATTCTGTGGCTATCGCAGTTGTCAGCTTTGTAATACAAATGGAAACATCTCAGCTATGGCTGTCTGTGTTCTTTACAGATTTTTTTTCCTTGGCTCCAGATGATATTTTTCTTACTTGATCACTTTTCCATGCTTAGTTTCATTCATGGTTGTCTTTTTCCCTTTAAGTTTCGGCACGTCTCATCTCTAAATTTTTCAATCACTCTTGCAAAGATCTTGCTTTTCCTTGCAGGTATTGATTTCTAAAGAGCACACACCCTTAAAACTGATCTTTTCTTTCAGCTCCTAAAGAAACACAACAAACTACCTTTAAACCTAAACCAGCTCCCATTCCAGATGCTTCACAACGCAAACCTGGTAAATTGTCTTCCCTTTTATCAAGCTATGGTCAATAACTGAACACTGGCTTTTGGGAAGGGTGCTGGTGAAGAGTTCTTAGCAGTACATTTGCTGCTTTGTACTATTCTAGCTTAAGAAACAGCTGCAGTACTGTGGTTAACTCATAACCACTGTTGGAAACAGCAACAGTTCCAGAGTTGATTTTTTTTTAATTGGTATTATGTGGGCATTACCAGAAGAAACAGTAATGACCCATATATTGTAAAGAATGATACAAAGTTATTAACAGCTTGCATCTCAGCAACATTTCAGTTATTTGCATCATGTATTTTAAGGTATTATGACAGAAGCCTTTTGGGACTGTTGCAGTGCTTTCCCTTTATATATAAGCATTTTCATCCAGATGAGGCTAAGACTTCCCTTCTGTTTTACTCCATTCAGGACATTTTTCATCATAAATCTGGCTAACTTGTGAAAGATAATTACTGCTTTCACTGAAGGGCTGCAAAACAATAACAAAAATGGAACTCTTCATAACCAAAAATCTTGGAGAGGATATGTCAGTTACTGTTGTAAAATGCACCTTTCCTGCTGTATATAGCATACTACTGAAAGTTGCTTTTAAGGAGGTAGAGGGGGGAAGGGAAAGTATCTTCATTATTCTGAGCATTTATCCAAATTTTTTCCAACAGGAATCATTCCACCCTTCCGTGAACCTGATTCTGCTATGATTCCTCAAATGCCTGAAAGAATAAAACCAACACTGGGTAATTGTGTATTTCATAAATAATTACTTTATTTTCCATTTTTGCTGGGTAAATAGTTGTGCTTTGCTACTGATAGCGGCAGTAACACATGAACTAATTTAAAATTTACTTTTGAAGGTTTTTTTCCTCATCTTCTAGCCATTCCAGTCAGGAGGATATAATTCCTGCAGTTGTTACATATTCTCCTGTAAAAGGAGGTTTTATTTAAAGAACAGATAGTGATTCCTGACTTTTCTGCATCTGAGGTATGATGCTGTTATCCTAAAATACTGCTTTGCTTTACTCCTCATTATCTAATTTTACAGAGAAAACTGCAAGAAAATTTTAAGTGTCAACTAGAGCACAACCTGCATCAAAGTGTACCAGCTACATGACTACGTGACAAGTCAAACACCAGTTCTTAAAACCATCTTCTCTTTTACCTTCTAGTCATCTCTGTTGGGAAAACTTTCTTAAATATATTTAATATATTAATGCATTATCCTCATAATTATTTTTTCTTACTTCCCAGATGTGAACTAAATAAGGGTGAATTAATCAAAGCAGGAGTGGGCAGTAGGAGTATTGCTTCAGTAATTGTTGCTAAGAATGAGTTCTGTGTCCCCACTTTCAGAGGAGATGTTGACCAAGATTTTATGAGAATGAAGTGGCATCATTATTGAAGTACCAACAGCCATTCAATAATCTTTGAAGTTTTCTTCTTTGATGGAAAGGAATTCAAAAATTCTTTTCATCATAATCAAATTTTAATATATATTCCCCCTATACATTGATACTTAGATTAGTGTTCATTTGATATCTTTACATATTTTTATAAAGTTTATGTGCTTTTTTATACACATCTGGGGACACATGATACAATCTTTATATGCAGAATACATGTGAAGAAGGTGAAGGGTAAGGTAGATTTTTTTCTGAGGACCTCTCATATTGCTCTGGATCATAGACTTTCAAGTGTTTGCTGTAAGTGCTAAAATACCTTTTGCATTAAGTGATCATTGCATGACAAGAATTATTAGAATAGAAAAGTTCCTGTTGGAAGGGATCTATACAGATTATTGATTCCAACTCCCTGTCACTTCAGGGCTAACAAAAAGTTAGAGCATGTATTATTAAGGGTATTTTATCCAAATGCCTAATAAGCATGGACAGACAGGAGGCATCAATCACTACTAACGTGTGTTTTTGCCCTATTAATTTACTGAATGCTGATGTGACTGCATATCCAAAGTAACAAGTACACATTTAATTATTGGGAAGTATGTCTGTACGAGTGGCTGTTTCATTTCTTTGCAGAAATTCCAACTGATAGATTTTCAGCTTTACACTTACACTTCCTTGTGTTCCATGATGTTCCTTATGCACTCTGAAAAGAGTCAGGTTTTTTGGTTTGTTTTGTGGTGGGTTTTTTTTCCTTTGTTTGTTTATTTAAAAATATTTGATTTATTGTTTGGGGTGTTTTTTGTTTTTTAATTTCAGCTGCAACTGAAAAACAATTCATTCATACCAAACAAAAAACATCTGAAAAACCAAGAGTGCCACACACCAGACCTGGTAATGAAGTCGTCTTGTAATTTTGTTGTTGTTATTGTTTGAACTTATTCATTCTTTCCCTCTAGCCTGAGTTTTTGTGCTTTTTTTTTTTTTAATCACAAATAATCATACCTGTTTTTGTGCTTAATCAAATGCATTGTCTTTAAGTCAGTCAATTCAAAACGTCAAAACTACGAGTCCAAGCTACACTGCAAATAATATTAGTATCCATAGTCTAGCATTGGAAACATTTTTCCTGCTTTCTATTACACTCAGCAAGTGATGACTGAAATGTAGTAATTGGAGTGCTGACAAATTTCAGTGGCTTGAATGCACAGTTTTCTCTTACAATTAGAGAGGCTCTTTGTAAGCACATTTTTCCCCCATAAAATTCTATATTACTCCTTTGAAATGTGCTTATACATTCAGCAACAGATGTGTAATACTGAAATGAAGTACTCACAAAATAGTTAAGGTAGCCCTTGTCTCTTCCTGCTTTTGTTAAAAAAATTGATGTACAGGAGAACCTAATAGGAAAATACTCTGAACAGTTGATTTTTAAGATATTCTGTTACTCTTTAGTGTGGGATGTTTTTCAAGTTTTACAGATAGTGAAAATGTAATTTATTTCCATTACAGTTTAATATTTTAATATTTAAATATAAAAAAAAAATTAAATATTTTTAATATTTTAAGCATCTCCACGTTTTCTCCCTTAACAGCAGTACATCAAACAACCCCACAACCAATTATCACAAAAACTTCCACCACCACTGAGCAGTCAAGGGCAACAATGGGTAAATAAATTTCCTTAATCTTAAGATGCAGACATTTACAATTTTTTGAATTGAGAAATTTCTAGAGAATGTGCTCATGTGTTATTTTATGTAACATCATGCCACTGTCCTTCATTCTGCTTACGCATACACACTTCTTGATACAGATGAGTCTCACTTCTATCCTAGTCAGAAGCCTTTATCAATTGCTCAATTAAATTCCATGGTCTAATTTATATGTTTTTTAAGGGCAAGAATTTTAGCCACTGACTCAACACACTCTACAGCTCAAATCTAGATATTTTCTGGGTTTTGAATAGCCATTTGTTTCAGGTTCCAGGAAACCATGGAATTGTTACTGTCTTCTTTTCAGGCATTTGAGGCGTGTATTTTTGGTGGGTGAAATATGGTGTTGAATTGTGACTCCTAAAAAATACAGTAATAATATTTTTCCTTTCTTTCAGCTCCAAAAGAAACAATGCTCCTTCCTTTCAAACCTAAATCACCTGTTGAGACAGAAGTACCACAGAGTAAACCTGGTAATTAAAAGTTTTTAACTTTAAAAATGTTACTGTTGTACTATCTTAGTTATAATTTTTGCTGCAATTCCTTACTGCAGTGATATGACATGCATGATATTTAGAGAGAAATTAGCATCATTGTTCAGCTTGTAGTACATCAATGGATTACATCAAAAATAATGCCCCAAAATTGCCTAAAATACTTGGGACACACAAGTAAAGATGTATTTTCTAAAGGTTTATTTTTTTAATCGGTGGATAGAAGGCATTTAATATATGAGGAACTTGACTAATTTGAATGAGAGTATACTACTGTAGCTGGCTTCACTAGGTTTTTTGGTAAGTCTATTACGGAAAATTAATGTGCTTTATTTTTGCAAGTGCTTTTGAAACTCAGGCTACAGAATCTTAGTCGAAGATAGATGATAAGAGTGTAAGTACTGTCTTCTGAGTACAGTAGAGATCCAAAGTTATAATGAAACATATATCAACATCACCCTTTGTGTGAACTATTTCCATAAAAATAACTTGGTAGATGTTCTTGGTAGAACAGTTACAACACAGAAAGAAAATAAGGGAAGGAGTGACAGCATGATCATAAATCTTAATTTTTCTTAATCTGTAATTCTCAACTGTCTCCAACTAGTAATACCTTTTTTTTAGGTAAGTAAGTTGATGAACAGTTTCATCATTCCCCCCTTCCCCCTTTTTTTCCTCAGAGTTCTTATGTAACTAGAAACAATTTAAGTACCATTAATTAAAAGAACAGCACATATATTTTGTTGTGAAAATCAAATTGAACAGTCCAGCAAAAAGACTTATTTTCTAAAGGATTATTTTGAAAGACTCTCTGTAAGTAAATAAGCTAGATTCTAAACCTCAATTGAACCTATTTCCAATCGTATAGTATTTCACAAGTATCATATTTTGGCACCACTGCATAATCTGGTTTAATAAAAGAATTTTAGAAATCACAGCTTAAGTGGTTATATTTTTTCCTTCTAAAATTTAGTTCACTTTACTGACCTTTACACAAAATAAAGGCTCCTGTTATCATGAAAGTTGATAAAAATGAGTGGCACTATTTGGACATCACTCTTTATACTAATAAGTAGGTTATTTTCCAGCTTCCGTATTCTAATGTTATTTCTGAAAGAAGCAAAAACTCATATAGGATGCCTTCAAGTCCCTCCTTTTCATCCAGTAACTTAGATATTGCTGACAAAATTTTGTCATATCTGAGTCAGGATCATAGAATCATATCATAGAATCATTGAATGGCCTGGGTTGCAAAGGACCACAATGACCATCTAGTTTCATGCCCCCTGCTATGTGCAGGGTCACCAACCACCAGAGCAGGCTGCCCGGAGCCACATCCAGCCTGGCCTTGAATGCCTCCAGGGATGGAGCTTCCACAGCCTCTCTGGGCAACCTGTTCCAGTGTGTCACCATCTTTTCACCAGAAAAGAATGCCTTAAACATAAATGTGTTAGGAAAGCACAGGTTAGCGTCCACCATTAGGATGCCTGCTCTGAAGCTGAAGGCCCAACAGAACACTTCCAGTGTCTGGCTGTCAGTATGAAAATACATCCAGGTTAATCAGAGCACATACTTGTTTCCTGTCATTCAAAATGGTCTTAGCAGATGTGTAGATAAATTTTCATGAAACACACAGATACTTAAGTAAATCCAACATCATTGATTTCATTTCTCACAGAGCAATGTTTTATTTCTCATAGCTCCAAAGACAACACACCTGGGATCAATTAACCTTATAACAGTTCATGTTGTTGATGGGTCCAAAATGACTTTGGGTAATGAAAATATTACGTCAGATTATTTTTTGTTTATAACTTTCCTTTCTCTGCTTTTCTATATGACTAAACTTACACTTTAATCAACAGAAATATCTTAAATATATCTTTGCCTTGTTCATTTGTTAGTCTTACTCCAGTGCATGTACAAAATATTTTTAATTTTCCAGGAACTTTCCTGACATTTGGTTGATATTCCTTATAGAAATTCTCATATATGAGGAGTCATGTAAAAAGACATTAGCTGCTCATCTTTTCTACTGTCTTTTGATTTATTAATTGTGTATATCTTCCCAGTCTTTAAGTCTTTGCATGAAACACTGAATATCAGCCAGGTTTCTATCACTGACTTGTTTATGGTCTGCACTCAGTTTAAATTTCTCTTCTACCTGTGATGTTTAAAATAAATAATTTGCATTTGATAAGCAATAAAATCTCCTATTTCAGTTCCCAATGAAACGTATCAGATTTCACCCAAACCCAAAAGTGCTCTCACAACTGAAATTCCATGGTTGTATACAGGTAATTCTTATGACTTTCTGTGTTGCATTGAGTACCTATAGCTGTTGAGTAAAATCAATATGATTTAAGATTTAATGGCTTATTCTTGTTACCCCTAAAAGCTTTTTAAGTAGTATTAGTTTTGTGTGTCTGATCCTCCATTCAGTAGTTTTGCAAACACAAACGTAACTGATTTCCACATTTTTCTTTTCCAAAATTCTAGATCTAAATTTTTGAAAAATTTCCCAACAATAACTGTCAAAAATGAGTAATACGTTCATTCCACAAGAAATGTTTTCTCAGACTCTTCAAGGAAGCTAGAGAAAGTGATGTTGATAGAATTGTTTTTAGACTCAAATATCAAATAGCTAGCTGTATTTATGTAAAAGACATTTAACTCAAAGTTACTCAGGTCCATTATTTGGCATGAAATGACAGTGACCGCTGCTTACATTTTTAGCTTTCAGTGAGATTCTCATACATACTGTAATAACTAAAATGTTGAAAGTACTGGACAAGTGAAAGGTGACAGCAGGAAAAGGTTGAAGGCTTGTAATTTTAACCTTGATGATGATGCTATGTTCTACAGCTCTGTATACTGTCTGCATTGAATGCTTTCATTTGTCTTCCCAGGAATATTTCTATATTTCTTGTTTTGATCTGGATATTTGATTTGGGGAGATTCAGTTCGGTGTTTTATTTTGAGGTTTTTTGTTTGTTTGTTTTTTACAGAACCTAATTAATGTCTTAAGGCCATGGATACCTTGCAGAGCTAACTCTGTATCCATATACAGTTGGGTAACTGGCTGTAAATATTTTATATCTTTTCCTAAACCTAAACATGAATGTAACTGGTCAGACTGCATGATGGAGTAATCTGACCACTAAAGAAACTAGCATCTTCAGCGTGCATTTTGGATGGGAACTTACAGAATTCTCATTTGTCCATTTTGCTATATCACATTGGTGCATGGACCATTTTTTTATGGCAAATTACGCTGCATTATTGATGTTGCTTTTACACATAGCATTTAAACTGAACTTTATTTCTTTTTAGCAGGACATAAAACACGTCTCACTTCTTTAAGACCAAGGCCATCTGATAAATCACAGGCCAGACCTGGTAATAATTATTTATCTATTTATTTATTTATTCATTTATTTATTTATTTATTTATTTATGGGAAGGAGAAAAACAATGATTATTTAATGAATGATGTTCACCTGTTCTTAGATGAATTTTACATATTGCTGGGAAAAAGGCATGGTTTTTTTCCAATTAATCAGTTTGCAGATAAAGCCTTTCCAATGTAGGAAAAGAAATTGTACATACCATCACAGCAACTGCTACTTATTCTTCTCTAAAATGTAATTGTTGCCATCACAAATAAGTCTGTTTGATTTGTTTTTTTTCTTATGAAAACTTTTCTTCTTTTTTCTTCTTTTTCTTACTATTTTTTGGTTTTTGATTTGTTTGTTTGTTTGTTTTAACTTCTTCTCAGCTCTGAGTAAAACCACAGTAGCACCAACTAGAACTAAAGCACCTGGGTTGCCAAAGTGGATTGTGCCAACAACAGGTAGAGATATATATATATATTTTTAACATATTAGAATTGTTACTTAATGAAATAATCTTGAACCCTGCAAAATACTTCATTACATTTGACCCTAAATCTTACCAACTGAGCAAAGAGAAAAGAGTTTTGTTTTCTTTCAGAAGATGACATCTTAGAGACTCTCTTTTTGAGAATAGAGAATTTTATTTCTTCCACAATGAAAACAGTATGTTATTTTCTGTAGTTAGCTGATCAGAATTCTTTAACCTCTGGTATAAGCTGATCAGAATCCTTAACCAGCTTGTAAGAAACAATAAGTTTTCAAGTTTACATTTAAACATTATATCATTATTTTGTTTTTCTGAAGAGTACATTTGTTACTTTGTTGTTTTAAGACCAGTTTGGACATTTTACTTCCATACTGAGCAGGCATCACTGTTGAATGTGCTCCAGTTCTTCTTCCTGAGCATACACATTAGCATCAATGCAAAGCTGTTTCACCCCATGCAAAATGTGCTTGGCAGCTGCAGGGCCCAGATGATAAGCTGTGGAATTTGTTCTTTCCAGCAAAAGTGCATGGGACTGCGGTTGGTTTCCTGGCAGGCTTTTAATTCTCCTGGCTAGCTGTATAGGTAGCTGTTATGCCAGCTGGTTAACATGACTGTGAGAAAGGAGCAGGGGTTGCACCTTCCTGACTAGCATTCCTTTTTATTTTTCTGCCATGTTTTAAGCCATTTTAAACCAATTTTCTACAATTTAGTTTTAAAGACATGGATTGTTGTATTTGTTCCCAAGTATGTAATATACCTTACCCAAGCATTATCTGGTTTAATCTTTAGCATTTAAAAACTTCTGGACAAAATTCAGCAAACAAAGTTTCGGCAACATTTTTATCCTCCTTTCTGAGAGACATTTAGTTTTCAGTAGAACAGACAGCAACTTTATGCTCTACTTGGTTTTTATTTTTGAAACTGTGAGTGTATAGCAAAGTTCTACAGGAATTCAAATATTAAGGTGATGCAGTACTGGGGAACATGGTTTAGTGGGCAGCATTGGTAGGTAGACAGTTGGACTAGATGATTTAGAGGATTTTTCCAACCTTAATAATTCTATGATTGTATATGCTCTTATTTTTTTATCAACAGCCCTTTTTCTACTTCTTCCCTTCTAATGGCATTCCTGCTTTTCAAGATGCATTGGTTAGTTTTAAGGTGTTTCAGACCTCATGCGTACTTTAAAAAAAAATAAAATACAGTTGTAACCTAAAGAAACATGGATACACATTCATCTAACAAAATTATTCTCAGTTCTACTACAAGTTTGGGTGGATGTGATAAGTTGAACTGCTTATACTATGCCAGCTAACATTGCTTGCTTAACACAAGTGCTATGATAAATACTGAAAGCTGTATGACATTGCAGGTACTTTGTGTGGAAAGAGACAAACTTAAGTGATTTTGAAGAGCATTAAAATACTCAACATTGAGATTTTTGTCAAAAGGTCCATGTTGTCACTTATTTTTCATTACTGTTTTACAGACCTAATGATAGTGCACGTTTCTGAACAAAATGTTTCTCCTGCCATGTTTACAATATTTTTTTGGTTGCTAGCTGATACAACTCAGAACAGATTGTGATTCTCAATTATATAGTAAAGAATAGAGGCAGGCTTTTTGAAGACACAAGTGCAGAACTAAGTTAGACTTGTAATAGATACTTGGGTAATTGGATGATTTTGTGAGATTAGGCAATGTGATGATACATTTTGTTGAAGCATTTGTTGTAGGGTGAAGTTGAGAAGCTAGTATACTTTGTCTGATGCCTGTGCTGTGCAAGATTTCTTTTTCTTTTTAAAGCTAACACTGATGTTCTCATACACCTTCCTCAAATACCATTCACATCGATTAGTGCTCTGGTGCTTTGTAAACCTGAAGACCTAATTAATTAATCACTTTAGTTACCTGAAGACAAATTGCAGTTATATCAAAATCACACAATTCATTTAGGATTTTCAGTCACAGGGACCAGGAGACCCACATCTTGATACAACTTACTTCAAGTCTCATTATTTTAACCCGTAGTGAACCATTTCATGTTTCCATACTGCTACTTTACTCTGTGAGGAATACTGAGACTCAGTCATATTTTTAGAGTGCACACTTTCTATCCAATTCTATTTTTACTGTGGATTTCTAAGATACACTTAGCATGAATAGTGAAACAGTAAAATATATTTAAAAAAAAAATTGGTTCTTCGTACGTTGAAATACTAGTGTAGTCCAGTAACAAGCTGAATACTGGATTATAAAACTACGAAAACCTTTGTTGAAATGTTTAGATCATATAGGAATAGGCTATCAAATTTGATCATTAATCTCTCATTTATTTTCCTTTTAGATTTCAAGGTTTTCACTCATGTCACGAGAAAGGGTGAATTTTTCACAAATGTGATGATCACAATGTGTCTTCTCAGTCTACAATATTAAGAGATTTTCATAAAGTAAATACACTTATAAGGAAGGTTATCCTATGAATGTCAGCATGTGAAACAGTTGATCTGTACTAGAAGAAGTTGCATTGATCTTTTTAATGTCATTTACTTTATTTATATTTTTAAAGTGCTAATATTCGTTTTAAGTAGGACATTCTTCTGTATAAACTGAATTTTATAGACACTTTGCCTGCAGTACTCCAAATACAGATTATGTTTTTTCTGAATTCCTCTGGTTATTCAATATAGATGACAACTAAAGACATTATTTTTGAGGAAAAGAATTTCATCATTTACAAGAACAGACATTTTATTCGGTGTGCTGAAAATCTGAAATGCTTCTTGTACTCATCTTTCCACTTATAATTTTGGTTTACATCATCAGTTCTCCCTTAATCTTATTTCCTATTTCTAAATATACTTTCATCAATGAATAGTTAAAGAGTAGACTCTCTAGATCAAGACTGCTTTCTACTTATTTGAATAGAAAAATAAAATAGATACAACAAAGGTATCACTAAAAAATAAACAGTTTTGCACTTCATATTGGGTAGAGTTTGAACATATACCATGTAGAATTGTTGCATGAGTCAGTGCTGCCCTATAGAAAATAATTCATTCCCCTTCCCTTCATAGATGACATATATACACCTGAGGATATTGCCAGACATATTGGCATGGATGTAAAAAAGCCTTTGGAATACATTGACACCTGGGAGAAGCCATTCTCTGGTAAGATTAATTTAAAAAATGATATAGAGATTTCTAATAGGTATGAAAAATCAAGACATTATCTTTTCTTACATAAAAACACCTCCACCAAAGAAGAGAAAGTAATTCTTAATCATCATCATTCATGCATATACTTCTTACTTCAGGATGGTTGTAAGAGATAAAAATGAGAATATTTTGTGGTCTCTTCTTACTCTCTGGCACTATGTTTGCAACTATAAATTACCATCATCACTGTTTGTTATACCAATTTTACCAATTTGGTCAAACAGCCACAGTACTGTAAGCGCTGATTATTTCCATTTCTATATGCTCTGTATAGCAAGGGAGAGTAGATAATCAAATTACATTCCCACTGATAAGAAGGCTTTGTTGGATATTAGGATAGTTAGGAAAATTAGAATGAGAGGTATGTTGCAAAATGCCAAGGTGGAGTGAATTAGCTTAAATTTCTTTACATGTGCTCTACCAGTCTTATCACTTTTAACTCTCTTTCAAGAGAGAGAATTGTATTTTCAAAACATTCAAAATATTTTAACTGAAGATATGGGAAAACGTTATATGTCAATTATCAGAATTTGGTTTCTTCAGCCTACCTGGCTGTTTCAGCAGAATATCAGTCTTTAGACATGTCAATCCAAACAGAGATTTTTCATTTTTTTACATTAAAGTAGTATAGGATAATATAACACTAATAATAATTCACTTTTGCTACATCTTGCACTTCAATCTGAGGACTGGTTTTATCAGTTAGAAAGTACAGAAGTAATGAATCCTGTATGTAGGGTACTGAAGAAGTTTCTAACTACACTCAGATATTGTTTACTGTGGGAAGAAGTATCTCATTGGCTGCCAAAAAAAGAATAGTTGATAGAAATGAGACTAACTACACATAAAATGAATCTTCAAAACATTTGTACAAAATCCCAGAGGAGCTTTATTTTATCACTGGTTTAAGATACCATAACACACACTTTCCAAAGAATGCAAGGCTGAAAATACAACTGTATTTATTTTCATGCTTCATGTCTTTGCTTTTGCTACTAAATCAAACGTGAACCAGTATTTCAGATGTCAGAATATGACTTCTATTGTATTTTCTGATTTTATTGCGTTGGAGGTTAAATAATTAATGACAGTGTCCTCTTATGTCATGCAGTAACTACATCACCTAGACCTCAGCATCCTCCTATACCTCCTGTCAAGCCTACACCTATGCGAAGGAAGCCTCTGCCTCCAAACACTGTGACGGGTAAACCAGGCATTCCAGGTATCTCAGCCTTTTCAGCATGAACATTTTATGTGTTACTTAACTCACTATCTATGTACAGGAGAATTTTATAGTATAAATTCTTTCTTACATTAGATGTGGTATCTATAGAAACCAATTTTCTTGAAGAGCCTTGTGTCTTTTGTCTGAATATACAAATTATTTCTATGTAGGTATAGATATATTTAACCTTATTATGAAACTCATCCACAGTAAGGGAGATAAGAGCAAACCAGCATCAAATGAGCATAATAAAGACATCCTTTAAATAGATCAACGATAAAAACATTTCATGTCTACTAATAGCATTTGCAGTTATTTAATGTATGTATCAGATGGGAGATATCAGATATTACTCTTCAATACATACCCACAGCTGATAATTTATGAAAAATTCTGTCCTGAGAATCTGGCACATGCATTAACCACTGCATAGAACTTGAGCTAATAGGCAGCCAAAACTAATTTATCTGGGAGGTAAAGGAATAGAAGTTAGCGCATGTACAATGAGTTTAGCTTCATTTATGTGTAACAGTATTCTTGCTTCTCAGTATCATTGTTAGAGCATGCAGAATCTTTTACATTTCCTGTTTCATTTTAGTTTTATCCTGAAGCTAATACTCAGTATCATTCTGTATGTTTTCTCTGTGGATTTTGAAATTAGAATCCAAAGGTTAGTGTTAATTCATCTCACTCTGCTTAGCATCATAAGTAATACTCCCCTCCTCATATTACTCTTTTTATTTCACTGGAAATATGAAGGTCTCGGTTCTGCTTTATTAATCATTTCATTTTATTTGTTTTGTTTTATTTCATTTGGAGGATCTGTGTGCTATTAAGGCAAGAAAGTCGTGAATTTTTTTCTCCATTTTCTTGAAAGCAAAGACCACCTTTCTGTTTGGGTCTGTCAGGGAAGACTCTTTTGTCTTCTATGTCCTTTGCTTATCTACAAAAACTAAGCTGATCCATCTCTGTGGACATCATTGTGAGAAAGCTTACCCCAGTGGGGTAGCCTCATGGTGGCAGGACCTAAATAAATCTTTAATATTTTGTGCAGCAATTTAGAAGTAAAGATCTCAAAGACGGTTGAAACAAGCTGTGTATCTGCACAACAGCGGAGCTAAGCAATGTTGTGTCTGCACTTCCTGTTTATTGGTGGTGTTTCCTCAGTAATAGCTAAAACAGAACATTAGACCTTGTCAATCTTAACATGTAGCACACAAAAAAATTTGCCTCGATGCATTTTCATTTGCTTGTAATGGGATCTATTCTTATTTTCTCCATTAAGTCTCTAATTCATCTAACAGCATTTTGGAATTCCACCTTTTTTTTCCATACACTAGTGGCCAGGTTATGGAGTAGTCATCTGTTGTCATGTCTTCCTAGACATTCGAGACAGACTAAATTGGTTAGATGACCTGGACCTTCCTTGTGAGGCTAGTAGTAGATTTTCCTTTTTCTTTGTTTCATAGTGTTTATTCAGCTTAGTTTTAAACATCGTTTAAGTTTCTTTCAGTTCTCTAGAGAGGTTGTTCCACATCATTAACAGGAAAATTTTGCTTCAATGTTCCTCTTGGATTTTCCCTGGCGTAATTTTGTTCTGTTTCTCCTTCTTATTAACGCTGTGATTAATTCCTTACTTGTATCTTTCTTACTCATCCACTAGATGAATGTTATGAGAAAGTCTATAGGCAGACATTAAAAGTCTCTTAGCTGTGTTAAAAAAAAAAAAAAAAAAAAAAAAAAAGTATTTGTGGAATTGGACTGAAGTGAGAAGTAAGAATCTAAAATTTCCACTGTCCACTTTTATACTACCTTCATTTTCTGAACTTAATTCATCAACATTCTGCCTTCAGTCACCATGTTGTGTGTCATTCTGCCAGTGAAGGTGACTACCTTATGCAGTTTGTGGATTTTTGGAGGTGAGATTTCATAGTCACAATTGTCTGGGAGGTTTCTGAATGTCAATTACTGACTTAACTCTTTTGTCTTGTAAAGAAATGTGCTCTTTTATTCGAGAAACAGAATGTTGGTTATTTTATGACTTTTATCAGTGCTTTATAGCCAGGTCATGTTCTAGCTAACTAAAGTTCTTAAAGACAGTCTCCAAATAGCAAAGAATTTTATTACTAGATTTCAAGGATAAGTTATATTGGCAATATGGACAACTCAGAATTTTTTTAAATCCAGCTGGAAGCTATTGAGTAAGTTTTGAGGGGAATAGTTTTAATGAAAGTATATACCCACATATTTTATAAAGTAGTCATCAGAAATAGGAATTCTGTTGAGAGTGAAATAGCTTTTTGATTTTCTGAATAGTGAATGCCTTTTTGCCATAAGCTCCTCTTTCTGTCACCATAGCTAAAGCAGCTGGACCAACAATGCCCGTGAAGACAGGAGTGCCATATAAGACACCAACAGCTTTTGCAACTCCAGAGTATTATGGTAAGTATAACACAGACAGTTCTGGACTCTTGTTTCTTTGTTTGTTTTCTAAAATGCACATAAGTTTCCTCTTTTTTTCTTGTTTCCTTTTCTTGAATACACTGATCCACTATATATTTAATATAAGAAGTACTCTATCTGGGATGATTCTGATTTCTGTTTTGCCACTTTGACATCTGTAACTTGACTGAATTCATATCGGTATCTTCTAATATACACCTTTGTAAAGGAGAACATGATGACTCTTCTGTCTTGGTAGAAATCAATACATGCTAAGCAGGACTTCAGTACTATTTGGAGTCTACTTTTAGTCTGTGAGATAAGTAAGTAAGACGTTCCTTTTACTGAACATTTCATCTTGTATAGGATGTAAATTAAAATTGTTAACTTGACAGTGGCAAGCGCTCAAGGTGGTTGTGGTATCCTACTACCTAAGATCAATATGTTACTATCTAGATCAGAAAAAAAAAAAAAGAATGCAATAGGATAAACATAATGATCTGTTGTGAATTAATCTTTTATAAAATCATGTAGGAGTAAGCTACAAGTGGAGGAACACTTCCAGGAATGATTTAAAATGCCAGAAGAACTGTGAAATTCGAGAGTTCTAACACTGAAACTTAATATTTATTGCAAACTGAGTCATAACTGTGTCTCCTTATAGTTGATGCAACTGTCTTCAGTTCAAGCCCTACATCAGAAACAGATTCTTCAGGCAAACCAAGGTACCTAGGTAGGATTTTAAAAGCTATGTTATTTCAATTTGGGGAAATATGTGGAAACTGTCTTTAATCAAAATTATCTTGTTTGATTATTTGAGGGCCAGAACTTCATTTGATTCTTTTCCACTTCAGTCAAATGAAAAGGCTCTATGGAGAGTCAGAATCACCAGCCTGTTCTTGGCTACATTTTACATCTATTCTGTTTGCTTCCATACTACAGCCTCCTACTTTGCAGTCTAGCAAATTTGAATTTTAGAGCTAATGAGTATTTAATTGTAAATTTCAGTAATTTTCTTTTCCAAATTTTCATGCAGAATGCAAGACATTTGTCTCAGATTTTCTCCAAAGTTTGATCCTGCACTGCTGAAAATGTTTGAGATTCTGGCAGTTTCTAGAAGCTGCAAGTTAATGACTGAATTACTCTCTACTACACATTGCTCTTGCTGGTGGACTAATGGGCATTACATCTTTGTATTGTTGTAGCACTCAAAAATTGCAAATGAAATTGTGGTGTCTCTTTGCTGTAGAGGGAGTAGAAGCCGTTATACTCTTCACAACAAAAATTAATTATTTCAAATTGTTTAACAGTGTGTATTACTCACTAGTGCTGGCAGAGTAACTTTTCATCAGCGGCAACCATGGGAAGAGAGTGAAGAGAGTGCAGATTTCGTATCTAAAACAACCAGATAAATAAGAAAAATTTATAAATAAATAAATAAATAAGTCAGAGCGGCTTAGAGAGAGTATTGCATATGTAGTTCTTAATTCTTAAACTTCTTGTGGCTGATTTTGACTTGTGCATATTTTTGCTATAGTCCCTGAACTGGAAGTTGCATAGTGGGTGGAATTGCATTGATGTTTTATTAAAACATCAGTGTTTGTACTCTGTACTGAATAATAACCTTTTCTTATTGCTTTTAGCACCCCATGTCAAGTATATGAAGAAAGACGATGATGTGCCTTGCTCTATCACAAGCTCTCTTGAACATTTCCCTCAAGAAGAGGCTGGCATCAAAGAAGAACCTACTCGTCCTCCACAGAATCCTCCAACCAACCTCACAGTTGTGACTGTTGAGGGCTGTCCAACTTTCGTCATATTGGACTGGGAAAAACCAGACAATGATACTGTTACTGGTTGGTTTGATTTTTCGTCTATTTTATCAGATTACAGTATTTCTAGCTTATTTTTATTTGACAGTGGTTTTATACAATTTAAGAAAATACTGTTATTTGAGAGGGGGTTTTATGTCATGCTACTGTCTGTCAAGCATGTGTCATGCTTGTATCTGCCAAGTATTTGTAAGAAAATGCTAATAGATTAGAACAAGATTTTCTCAGCTATATCACTGGAGTCTGTGATGACACAAAAAGATGCTAAGAAATATGACTGTATCTTCCCTTCATTTCTAACTTTTCTGTTTACTGTAGATAAGCAAAAAATCTACAAGCTTTCTGGTAAGACCAAATCAAGAAGTTGCAGCAATGCAACAGTACTCTTTATTATTTAGTTACATACACGTGATGGAGACATCTTTTTGCTTTAAGAAATTTTTTGATTAGTGAATCAGCGAGCCAAACGTAAGCCAGAATGCTTACATCATTCTAGTAGGTCAGCAGAACTCTGCCACATATTACCTGCAGTATCCACCATAAGGTCAAGTTCTCTCTGTTTAAAAGCATCTGTCTATCTTTTCTCATTTGTAAAAGTTTATTGTATTGAGAGTAAACACTTTGTGAGGCAGGCATGAATGAGTACCTAGACAGGTAAACATGTAAGGAGACCACTCATAATTCTTCCATCATCTTCCGTATACCAACACAAGCTGACCAGATTTGAGCATTTGAGAAGAATTTATGGTTCCTCTGTCCTGTCAGAAAGTGACTTTCATTTTTACCTCTGACATAAAATAAAATTTTCATTTGCAGTATCACTGGTACGCCACTACTATGGCCAGACAGATTTGACTGTGTTGCTTTATAAGAGAGTAGAGCAGTTAAAAGTAGGAACTCTGCAGAGCAAGACTTGACCATTGGCCATTCACTTTAGAATATAAGTGGGATGTTTTCAGATGTTGCTCTATATCCCTGTCATGAGAGATTTCAGTGGAGAGGTATAATAATGACTGTCATAAATTCTATTTCCCAAATTAATCCTTTCTTGTTCCTCTAGAAATGATTACTAGGTTCAGCCTCCATTCTTTCTTGCTCTTTCCACAGTTTTGGGAAATAACAAATGCAAATTGAATTAGACACATTAAACAAAAATTAACCTGCATCTTCTCTTCTGAGAAACAGGAAAAAAGTTGCCTCTCCTGGTGAATGAAAAGGGGAAAAAAATGTCTATAGGCTAATATAAAGTATCAACGAGAGATAGGAATGGCTACCTAACTTGCTGTGTTGTGCTGGTAAAAAAAGAAGCGTGAACCTATTTGTAACCTAAGTATGAGGCTGAGGAGAGGCTCTGTGAACAGTTCCCATTCTAAGCAGTACTGCAGTGCCTCTTTTTGCTTTCCTTTGTTGTTTTTGTTGACATTTGGAGGCTTTCTCCACATACCTAACCTTAGTTTGATTCAGATATTCACTTAGTCTGCATGTTTTCTTGGAAGCAGGCCTGCTGTTTTTCTTGAATGTGTCATACCCACTGCAGCACAACCAGTTCAATTAGAGAAATATAAAAATATTTACATTATAGCTGGGAAAAAAATGTCAACATGCATCATGTAGTGATGAAAGCAAGGCCTGGTTGCCACATAAATACAGTCTTATTTCCTTTCTTTTTCACATTTGCAGTGAAAACAGAGCAAGCAATGCACACTATATTTTATAAGTCTTTAGGTGGAAGTGCTTGCTGTAATCACTGTTTGTAAAAATTAACTTTCTGTGAGATTCTTCTGGAAGACTTCTCTGAGACATCTGGCATAACCCTCTTTGTTCTGAGAATGGAGATTAAAACTTTCTGCAGAGCATACAAATAGGATTCATTTTGTTTCACTGAGATAAACTTTAGTTTTCATTCTACTTAGCTTAATTTCTAGAAGTAACAACATTCCCATAAATACAATTTTGATTCTTTTAAAATTCAATATGTGTAACACATAATGTTTGAACTCTGGTTTACAAATACTCCCACTGAGTTTGTCTCTTCCATTTTAACTTCAAAAAAATAACTCCATCATTGACTCATCCAAAGATATTTTCTGAATTCAAGAGAAGGCAATGAATCCCATTTTTTGAAAAAGGTGATTATTTCATGTTGGCACAAATAGACATTACTTCCTTAGACAAACAAATCAAATTTTCTGTCATCTCTTTTTATTTTTGTATTTTATGCATGTTTTCTTAATGTTCTGATTTGGGCGTCAGATTTTTTATTTTTTTTCAGGTAGAACTGTGGAAACAGTGGTGTAATTTTTTAAGCCCTTTTTAAGAAAGAATTGCTCTGGTTGACCTTTAGCTAATGTATTGGATGAGGGTTTTCATCATTTTGGTTATTACTAAAAACAAAATTGTACTTCAGTAATGGAAAGGTCTGACAAATAATACCAAAACAGTGATCAAGCTTACCTTGTTGTTTTCAGAAAGGCTGCAAATGTCAGGGACCAAGACATTTTTGCTGGTGCTCTACTAGTCTGGTTGTGTTGCCTCTGTGATGTAGAGCAGCATATTTTCTAATCCACTGAGATTCATTGTTAGTATGTAGAAACAACCAGGTGCTGAATGCATTCCAGTAATTCTTTGTGCGTGTGCGTGCAAGCACATGCCTATGCACACATTGTTTTATGTTTTATTTTCCAACTTGAATGAGTTAAAAGTTCAAATCACATGGTTTTTTGCATCTGAGCTATTCATTTCTGCAGGTCTCTGATTTTGTTTTTAAAAGGCAGTGGTCTTCTGCTCTTCAGTGCTGTCTTCTAGAGGAGCATTTTTGAGTATGGAAAGTTTGAAATCTTCAGCATCAGCAGTAATTCTTTTCTTCATGCTGATATTCTGACATACTCTTAAACCTATTTTAAAGTTTAATTTTGCTCCATATATGCTCCAAATAATGGAGACCATTTTAAGATATGATATAAAAAGACCCCTTTGAAACTATTATGGCAAGTGATTTAAAATCCACATGTGCGTATATATATGTAATTAACAGGACTGAATGACTGGCTTAGAAGCTTGGAATTTTAGAATACCAATTTTTTAGGGATGCTTTGCACTCCCACTTAATTGTATCACCTTTAAATAACTTACTACAGTGTTTTCAGTGACTGCTTTTTGCAAGAAGTGCAAAGAAAGACAGAGCTGCATATTCACAGTCAAAATTAGATCAATTCATTTCTGTATTTGTGCATACGTTCATTTTCACGCACTACTAGGAGAGACAGAGAGTCTGAAAGTCCAGCAATACTTGTGAGAATTTTATTCCTTTTCAACACTGAATTTCATTGCAGATAATGTTTTATCTTTCCATGTTGACAACAAATGGATATGCTTGTACGGAGAAATTAAGAAGGAAAAAAAAAAAAAGCCCTAAAGCTTGCTAGTATTTACTTAAAAACTTGAAAATTAATACTATCATGAGAGAAAAAAACAAACAGGGAAGGAAGTAGTTTTGTAGGGTTCATAGATAGTTCCTGTATTCATTTTCACAGTATAATACATGCTTTATTCTACCGTGCTATAGATCTAAATTACACATGTTTTTTGAAAATGTTCTGCTATGCTAGCTTACAATTAGGAAGGCTGAACTTGAGATTATAGACAATTTTTAGGAAGAGAAAGTAAGATCCCGAGAAGCTGTGAATTTCTTAACAGGAAAATTAGCAATATACCTCATGTTTTCATTAGGAGAGGCAGTCATGAATCATGTCAGGGGATGCAGATAAAGAGAGACTGTGTCTTGGACTTAGCTATGGTTTCTTGAAGTGTTATCTTCTTCCCAAACACCTGGTGTTACCTCCCTACTCAGAGCATGACTTGTTCTTGGTGGTACATACCAGTTGAGAGAAAAATAAAGTAATAAGCCTCTATAAGTAATATAAATACAGAAATAAATTTAAACAAAATTATTTAATTCTAAAATGACATATACCCTAAGTGCACAGCCAAAATTAGTTTCCTGTGGAAATCTTAAAAATTTAGCTTTGTCAAGGTTTAAGCATTTAGAAACTGTAATTCCATTTTTGATTCTTCTTTATTCAGACAAAAGGATATTTAAACTTCTTTGTGTTCAGAATTCTGTCAGTAGTGTGCCTTTGCGCAGAGATGAGATGTTGAATATCCTCTGTCCATTAAGTGAATTATGAGAAAAGATGAGGGGCTAGACACTCATCAATGTGTAATTGGAACACTTCAGGAGTTTTTCTAGCTATTTTAGAATAGTGATACCCAGACTTGTTCACATGAGACGTCCATGCAGCCTGTTAGACAGTGGACGATGAGAAAAAGATGAGAAAAGAGAACGCAATAAAGATGCTCAAGCTAGAGCTATTATTTAAGCAAATTTCTCTTTTCTGTAATTTTGCAGAGTATGAGGTTGTGTCAACTGAAAATGGAGCGACTGATGGTGAAAAGGAGAAGTCAATTATCACTACAAATCAAACTCATTCTACTGTGGAAAACCTAAAACCTGACACAAGGTAATTAAATAAGAATATTTTCAAAGTTAATTCAACTAATCTAGACTGTCAGCTATCTGCTACTTCGAATGAAAATGTGTTATATGTATAAATGTAAGAACAGTTACTTCAAATAATATATATACATATAATGTATTGAGCAAATCGTTTTAATCCTGCTCTGATAGGAAAAGGTATGCTTATATATTGCTTTCTTTTAACAGATAAGATAGTTCTGAGGAACGTTTAGGAAATTTCTGATAAAATATGTATGGTCTGAGGAGAAGGGGAAAAAACACAACCAAAAGTAGTGTGGAAATCTTAAAAATTTAGCTTCTTAGTTTGTCCTGTGTTTCTGTTGTTCATTTATTGCATTGTAAGGTTAGTGAATGACAAGTGGTTTTTCCTGTAATATCGTTTGACTATGGTAATCATATTTTCTCATCACAAATAGACTCCCCTTTTCTACTACTATCATTATATTTGTAATACAGCACAAAATTCTTTGCAGAACCCATCACAAACCTTAACTTTTAGGCGACATGATTAATTTGACACACTGGTTTTAGCTCACCTACTTGTGACCAGCAGCTTCCAGAAGGAGGAATAAGGAGCTGTTGCAGAAAGTGAAGAGGAAAGGAAGTGGAAAAGAAAGGCCAAGCAAAACCAAACAATAAATAAATAGATTTAAAAAAAAAAAAAAAAGAAAAAATCCAACAAGAACAAAACTTTGCTGAGAAACTCCAAAACTCAAAAAATGGTTAGAATGCTGATAATTGCAATTTTCTCTGTTATTTCCTAAGGGAAATTATTCTGTTATTTCCTGAAGTCACACTGCTTGCCAAAGGGTGAATTGCCAATATGTTGTTCTGTCATTTATGTTAGCAACACATCTGGTGCAGGAGACCAAGCCATGGTTTCCTCCATTTCATCAACTGTGGAGTCTCAGATGAGACAAAGCAAAAGATCTCTGGAGCTGAAGAAAGACAGTGGGCACTGCTGTTTGTGCTTTCACATCTATTTTAATCTCTGCTTTGGAATGAGGCAGTTGCATTCTTGAAAACTATCTTTAGACAACTGTTTTGGTTTGGTTTTTTTTCAGAAAGGATATGCAAGATGGAGGCAGGCAGAACCAGCTAGAACTCTTGGAAAGGTCATAAGGAGGACAGGAGCTGTGGGAAATAGATAAGCTGGTTTATTTAACTTTAATTTGTAACAATTCTGTCAGTACCTATGAGAAACTTGGGGCCTGGGGCTTGAGGAGCAAGAGCAGAGCAGAGACCATGGAGACCAGCTGTCTTTTGTAGTCTTTTGTCTTTCGTTAAAACAAGTTTAATATGAGATCAGCACCAACTGGCAGAAGATGTCTTAGGATAAAAAGGGTGCCTTCACCCTGATGAGGTGACGGCTATAATCCCCACTCCCACTCTAAAAAGCAAAAGGCAGCAAGTATTTCTGGATTCAGGAAGCCATCGTCTGAAATTGAAAATATTTTATGTGAATTGCAGTACTGCATGTTCCTTTGGTCCCACAGGATTTCATGGAGGTGAAGTCGTCAGTGCAGTTCTGTTTGATTAAATTCCAGTTTCAAAATGTGTGTTCCCTAATTTTGAAGACTCAAAAGGACACGAAGTTATTACTGTTGCTGTTTGAATCCAGGCTTGTTGGCACATTAAGTTCAGGAAAAGTAAGAAAGTCATTGAAGATGATTGGCGTGTAGACAGTGTCAGTGTTGCAAAGAAAAACATATGTCCACAACAAAGGTTTCCTATCTGTCAGGAGCTGATTGCTCACTGATTATGTAAATGGCCTGGTGGGTAAAGGCAATTGAAAATAGAAGGGAGAGACACACAGTGAAACACAGCTGAATAAAGTAATTAACAGAGTCCCTGAAATGTCTGCAATTTCATCAAGTAATACATTAAATCCAGGAAGTGGATTTTTCCATAACTAGCTTTAAAAGAAAGAGCTGTAGAAGGGGTGGAGCTGGAAAAGAAACTTGGAGGAGAAAAAGAAATCCGTCTTGCAAAGGACCAACATTTACAAAACTACCAACAAGTATATGGAAAGAGATGCTCAGTAGCATAAAGTGAATTAGCTAGGAAAGAACCTCTTGGCCCTGAAACTCTTTGGAGAAGCTGACGAGCTGAATTTGAGATTCTAGTTTTTCCAACTTTCCTGAAGCCATCAGTGATGCTGTGTGAATCCCATATGCTGCTCTGAAGATTCAGTGCCTCCAGAGCTGAGGAAAGTTCAAGATTGATCCAATCTGGGCAGATCTAAATTGAGAGTTGCCAAAAGGAGTAAGAATGACTGTGAATGTTGAATCTCAGTCTCTGTGAGTAAATTTTAACCAGAAACTTCCTATGGCAGCAGAATTACAGTTCAAGTCTGTGATTCTCCAGATGTTTAGTCTTGAGGAGCTTTACACGACAAAGATGGTCTGCAGCCTCCCTTGTCCTGTTGAGGTAAAACAGATAGGATATGCTAATGCCTGGCCAGAAGCTAAAGAATTAATTGCCAACATCCAGGAGGAGCGAAGTAACATGAACAAATCCTCAGTGCAAAGGGGATTCACAGAGCAGGCAGCTGTGAAAAACTAAGTGTATCTGTGCCTGACAGATCATGGTGTTCCTTTTTTCTGTTGCATTCTTCTTTCAAGTAGATCATGCTGCTACACCTCTGGAAAGCTCTGCAGTAAGCCAGGCACTGTTCTTGAGAAAGACAGCTTTTACAGATGAGGAGATAATGGCCAGACCTGAAGTATTTAAGAAATTTGGACTGTGTTAGGAAGACAGTTGCAATGAGAGACTGTCAGTCTCTCTTGAAAAATTGCTTGTGCGGTTGCAGCTGTCAGTAACTATAAAGTGGAAGTTAAACAGGATACAAATTTCTCTGAAAAGGAGGATTATTATAATGGCCATTTACCTGAAAAGTGACTAGATCCAGAAAAAATAGTTTTACCAAAAGAGAAATGGAGCTCTGATTATTAGTGCAGTTATCAGCTACTTGTTTTTTAGACATTCATACCATCTTAATATGGAAGTGAAAATGAATCTTCATAGACATACAGCAACTTATGAGGGCTACTTCTAAATAAATGAAGTTTCTGGCAGTTTGTTATATTTCCTGTTTGTCTTATAACATGTATGCCAACCTTATTCCTTCTTGATCACAACACATCTGGACTTGAGATGAGAGTAGAAATTAAAATCTGTCAGGACAAAATGTGAGGACATATACCCTTTAAATAAACTTGAGGCATAGTCATTTGCTTCCCACACAAGTGCTTGTTAAAAAAAAAAGACTTCTACAAACTGCTGTACAGTTTGATTTCCTTGGAGCATTAAGATTCCTGCACCTTTTTCCAGAAAAAAGGGAACTTTATATCTATTCCATTCTCTCTTAGTAAAGCATGCCTGGCAGTGGCATTTATTTAAAGAGTTTTCCTTATAGGACAAGTATGTCTTTTTCACCTGGAGATTTGCCAAACACAATGCTTGAGGTATTTCACTATCACATCTAAGAAAGCTGCTGTTCGTCTTAGCAACCTGGAAAGTATTAATTGTGATTTACATTATTTGGTTGGTCAGAGTTCTTGAAACTGCCACTCCTCCTGGCATTAAGCTGTTACCTGGCTCCAGATACTCTGGATCTAGATTTCTATTTAGTTTCATCAATTATTTTGCTTTGAAATATCTCAAAACATGTTGTACAGCTATGTAATGCAAGCTAAAGGACTATGGATAATTCTTACACAGAGATTTACTATGGAATCATAAAATCATAGAATGGTTTGGTTGGAAGAGACGTTTAAGTTCACCTAGTTCCAACCCCCTGCAATAAGCAGGGACACCTCCCCCTAGACCAGGGTGCTCAAAGCCCCATCCAGCCTGGCCTTGAATGCTTCCAGGGCAGGGGCATCCACAGCCTCACTGGGCAACCTGCTCCAGTGTCTCGCCACCCTCACAGTAAAGAACTTCTTCCTAATACCTAGTCTAAATCTACCCTCTTCCGGTTTAAAACCATTTATCCTTGTCATGTTCCTACCTGTCATTATCATAAGTCCCTCTCCAGCTTTCCTGCAGGTCCACTTCATCTAATTGTGCTCGAAGAGGAAATCTTTCTCTTATTCTACAAATGTCTTCTGCTTAAGAATTTCTGTTATAGATGTGCTTCTGTGAGTTAATAATCAAATATACAACTTTATACTGAAGTTAGATTTTATTATCTTTCACATTATTTTCCAGAATTTTAGAATAGATCCAGGTCACATTTCAGTCAGCCCTCTGTTCATTGTCACACACATCACACCAAATTTTCTGCAGCTTTTACTATCTTTATCCTTCAATTAGTCCTTCTCATTAAACAAAGCAAAATAGCTCAACACCATTCATCCTCCTTTCTTATAGTTCATTCAAGCAGTGAGTATCTGTGAGCTTGTTTGTGAACCTCTGAGCAACGTCATGTAGCTTTTAAGTTGGCTCTGTAATGAAAAGAGGCCTGGATCAGATAGACCTTCAGACCTCCATTCCAACCTGAATTATTGTATGATTTTTTCTTATGTGAGTAATTTCTGATCTTGTTAATCTTAACTTTGCTCATATTCTTTAATGCAGGCTGAGATATTTTTGTATGTTAAGGCAAATATCATTTATTTCTTAGCAAAGAAAAAAAAGAGAGAAAAGAATGTTCTAGTATGAACTATGTTGTCAGCTTAATATTTGCCCTCCAAATGGAAAATTTGCAGATTTTTGAGAAGTGCACCATCTATTCTACTTGGAAAACATCCAAAGCCAAACCACAAGATTTATCATTTTGGTCAAAACAATTTCAGTCTATTTTCCAAGCAGTCATTTGAGGAGACCTGTAACATTCCATCTAACTTTTCATACAGATCTCATATATTTGAGTTTGTTTACAAGACTGCCCCTGCTGGAACTCTTATTTTCACCTGCATACCCGGAAGCCCATCTTTGTGCTTTCTGTCTGTTCTTAGTTTTACACTGCCCTTAAATAAAGGAAGTACTGCAGTAATTTCTCCTATGGTAATAGTCAAGCAAGATCTGCCAAGTGAGCATCTAGCAAAGTAAGCTAATTATTGTTTTTTCAGTGTTTCCTTAATTGAGATGTTTGCTTGTAATCAGCCTAGAAAGACCTGACGTAGAAATGGGCTTAGTATGATTTTTGATTCCTTCATTTTGTCTCATGCGTAGTAATGTTCATCTCCATCCTCTCCATCATTAAGATCAGCTTCACTTTTTAATAGATCTTTCCTAACTCAAAATATTAAAAACAGATGTTGGGGTTTTTGTTTGGGTTTTGGTTGGTTTGGTTGTTTTTTGTTTTGTTTTGTTTTTCTTCCAGTTTTACTTTCTCATTTCCAAAGGAATTTTGCCTTTATTTTTTTTTAATAGTTTTCTAACTGCTTAAAATTGATCTAATTTTTCTAGCTCTCCACATCATCTGATCTGGTTTCATTTTTACTTTCTGGTTTCTGCTGGTTCTCCTGCCAAAATATGTCATTTTTGTTTATCTTTGCCCTATCTTGAAATATTTTTATTTAAGTTAAGGGTATATTTTCTCTTTCATTCTGATGGTGTGTTTAAGGGCAGCTAGGTTCATAGAATATGTCAGTAGTGTCCAGGAAACTTTGCAGCACTAATTACTATACAAGCTTTCAAAAAAGAGTCTGAATATTGTTGAAAACAAGTTCTCATGCATGTTTGTATTGGCAGTAATTAGAAGGTAATAAAGGAAAATATGAAGACTGCAGTTCTGCTGTGTTAGTCAGAGATGTGCCAAAGTTACCCTGGGGAAATTCAGATAGTCATTAAAATAGGGGGTGTGTCCCCTCAGTCTGTTGGTGAATGATTTTATTCCAAAAAATATTATTAATTAAAAAAAAAGGCTGTGATGCTTGCATTCCACAGGAAAAGGTCCTGATCTTTTCCCTGGTTAAGTAGTTTGATAATTTCAAATATACTTTTCTCCTTTTGAAGTACGTTTGGAGGGGTCTTTTTGGACTTTTGGTTTAGATTGTATCCCTAGGTAAAGTATGTTTCCAACCATAAGGTTTCTTGAGGAATATAAATAGCAGGGAATGTAAAC